TTAAACCAGTCTGCTCCTTGGAGTCTGCTCCTTGGAGTCAAGGATTCTGAGGCTTCGTCTGACATACTCTGGACATGTTGCAAGGAGGGACCAGTCCTTGGAGAGGGAAATCCTGCTTGAGATGGTGGAGAGACAGTGCAGGAGAGGAAGATACGTTATGAGATGGATTTATTCAGTGATTTGGATAATGGGAGTGGTGTGTTATGGATGGAACATAACAATAACAACAACAACAACAACAACAACAATATATAGAACTTAAGTACTATGTATGAGTACATATGCTACAATTGAGTCAGAGAAAGTCAAATTATAGTGAGTGACAATGCAGGAAATATAGAAATCAAATGTTTCTCTATTAAAATGTATTAGCAGTAGTTCTCAAAATGAGAAGGCATTGTGAGTTCAGAAAAAAATATTTTTAAGAAAATTAAAAACTTTTTTAAAAGAAAAATAAGGTTTATTAATGCAACTTTCAAAAAGTTTTGATAAAAATAAATGGTACTCATCTTTAGTGTAATATACATTGTGTATTTGTTTGCTGTGTGATGCAGGTCAGAATATATCTGAAGATGAAATTGAAGACGAAGAATTGGAAACTTGTTTTAGGATAACAGTGTCCAAGTTACCTATATATACTTTACATTCACCTAAGGATGCTACTGCACAGAAAGAGCCCAAGCACCATCTTTTTCCTGCACATGCCCAGCCATCTTCTGCCTTTCATCAAAAACCAATAATTAAAAGTAACAACGTTTTAGACAAAATGTTACGGCAAGAGTTTTTAGCAACACACAGAAATGGCATAAAACTCCAAACAGTTCGTGATGTTGACACGTATTACTCAGAACTAAAGAAGTATGAAAGACAGGAACAAAAAGCAGCAGCTATAGCTATGGCCAAAGCGACCAAAAAAATAATTAGAGAAAACATTGAAGAAAATGAATACAAGAAAAAGCAAGCTATGCAACAACAAAATAAAAAAGATACCGAAGCAATTCAAAAAGGTTTGCAACAGAATTTCCAGAAGAGATTCAACTACATTGAAAAAGTTAGAGAAAGGAAAACTCAGTTTCTAGAACAAAAGAAACAAAAGGCTAAAGATCGTGCATACATTCAAGAATTAAGCAATAAGCATATTAATTTTGCCCAACAAATTATAAACGTAGACAGATTGAAGAAGAAAGCAGCTATTTTGAAACAAAAAAGCTACGTTGTTCAGCAACAATTAAAAATGGAACAATATAAAAAAGAATTACATAAACGCTTGAAAGAAATCAGGTAAGTGTAGTTTTGATGCTGGTGGAGGGGTGGGTTGTTTGGTTTGGGTTGTGTTTTTTTTTTTAACATCATTATAAGTGACTATCACATAGTAGGGGAAATCTGGTGGCCTAGTGGTAAAAAACTGCACTGTAATTCCAAAGATGTGTGGTTCAAATCTACCAGCTGCTCTGTGGGAGAAAGATGGGCAATTTTTCACTATGTGATTTATTGCCTCTGTAAACTCCTTGGAGGATCAGCTATGGGTTGATTCTGACTTGATGACGCACAATAACAACACCAGATAGTAAATGTTAAGGTCTAATAATGCAGAGTTTAACACAATGCCTTCCATTATAGCAGTCTGTTGTTGTTGTTGTTGTTGTTAAGTGCTGTCGAGTCACAGGCGACTCATAGCGACCCTATGAAGGAGAGTCCTTGACCCTTGGGTGCCTTTCATCCTCTCTCCAAGTTACTAGGATTTCTGGAGGCAAGCTATTATGGAAGTGAATGCCACTCCTCCTTCCAAGTATAACAGTCTAGCTTATGTATTAATAGAAAACAATTCTATTTAAACCCTAATCTCTACCCTCATCCAAGAAATCCTGCTGCTTCTAAAAGACTGTTTTTGTGACTGAGATACCTCACTCAGCATAATGTCCTCCGGGGTCACCCATTTTGAATAATATTGCCTGAGTTCCTTGTTTTTCAATGCAGCATAATATTCCATTGTGCGAATATACCACAGCTTCTCTGCCCATTCGTTTGTTGATGGGCATTTAAGTTGTTTCCAACTCCTTGCTATTGTAAACAAAGATGCAATAAACATGGGTATGCGTATATCTACTTGGATACCATTTATGGTCTCTTTAGGGTATATTCCCAGTAGTGGAATTGCTGGGTCAAATGGTATCTCTATTTGCAACTTTGTGAGAAAGCACCACATCGCTTTCCACACTGGTTGCACCATATTACACTCCCACCAACAGTGAATAAGGGTTCCAGTCTCTCCACAACCTCGCCAACATTTGTTGCTTGCGGTTCTGTTAAATTTTGCTAGTCTTACTGGGGTGAGATGATATCTCATGGTTGTCTTGATTTGCATCTCTCTCAGAGCTAGGGATTTTGAACATTTCTTCATGTGCTTGACGTCGGGGTGGGGATAAGACTGAGAAAAACTGAATGAAATATGTTAATGGCATTAAAATCTATGGGGAGAGAATAGTTTAAAAGTATTATATTTTAGGGCATTATGTTTATTGTAAGAGTACGGAATGAGGGTTGCAGAGTGGATTATATTTGGGGTTGGGGGTGTGGTTGGGGGAGGTGCGGGGGGGATTGTGTACCAGTGAGGGAGTTATTCTTTTGCTTTTGAAGGAGAGGAGCAAACGGGGGTAGGGGAGGGGGAAAAGGATGCAACAATGAATGAATGGAATTCCAAAATCTCTGTAGATGTTCATTGAAATGAAAAATAAAGAAATTAAAAAAGCCCTGCTTTTACAGGAGTATATGGAAGCATTATCAGTCTCTTGTTCAAACTGAGTGCTAGAAACCTGTCTTTTTCATATCTAGTCTCCATAATCAACATCTAATGTGTTTTCCTGTTTTATTAACTTTATTATTGCTATCCTTCCTTTGTAATTTTACTCTTCTACTTTTATTTAAAATTTTACTTGCTTACTATATCCTTCCAGCTGAGATAACTATAGCCACTCTCTATCATTTCTTCTGTTCATAATTTTGAATATGTTGATAGATTGAAGTTTCCCACAAAATAAAATCTAATCTTCTCTGATTGGCATTCTAGATATCACTATCTGTTCCAGTCTATATTCTCAGATTCATGTCATATGAAATTTTTCTTTCATAAGTTATTTCCTTTCCCCCTAAGAGTGTTCACTACCTCTTTGTTCCAGACCAAATAAATTATAAATTATTTATTATTCTCTACCCAAGTCAAAACTCTCTCTCTCTCTCTCCATATATATATAAAATAAATTTTGATAGTTGTAAAGGGGCTTTAAGCCTTTTGTTTATAGGGTCATTATGAGTCTTGTTCTACTTGAAGGCAATTAACAACA